AAGATAACCTTTGGTTGGCATCCTATTGTAGCCACCACATTCTACACTTGAGTCTCGGGATTCGATACAAATACAGTTGGCTATGAATTAATCCTTTAAAAATTATGAAATATATTGTTCATACTAGAGCTGAGCATAGTACTCGGACAATTTCGAATTGTCCAAAAACAGAACCGAAATAACTTGAATCGAAAAATAACCGTTAATTTGACTTTATCTGAACCAAATCAAATCGAATCGAAAAAATTAATTGGTACGGCTCTAGTAATTTTATAAATATCCGTACCAAGAACCAAACACCATCTCATACCGTACTGACCCTAAATCTGAGTTATAACATTAGATGTGTCTTGTTCATATATTCTATGTCAACTTTTAATCTTATATAGTTTGAGTATTTTTAACTACGTAATAACATATAGTATTAATATAATAATACTCGAATCTCGATCTACAATTATATTATTTATTATTATTTTTTGAAAAATGTGTTCATACTATATTTATTCATACTTTTTTTTAATCTTACTAAATTATAATTAAATGATAAGAAATGTTAAAGAAATACTTAAAAACAAAATTATGTTATATTTGTTTGGATTTCAAATTTCCATCTTTAAACTTGATAATTGTAAGGTTTAACATAAATAAACTTACTTCTGCACTTAGCCATTTTGAAGTCTGTAGTTCTGTTAACTGTGTTCTTTGTCCAAATTCTCGTGACATCTGCACGATCTTTTCACTTGCAACATCAAAAAAAGAAAATAAATTAGCAATACTTTTATATGCATTCTGATGATAATTGTGCATAAAAATAACACTTACTCCGGACTCTGGGTTACATCGAATATGTACTTCAAAACATTCTTCTCTTCAATACTAAAATCCGCTTCAACACCCTAATAAAAAACTAAATCATAAAGTGTGTTGCGGGCGAGAAACTTTGATCAAATTTTTAGATGTACATTGTAAGAGAACGTACGCATACGAAAAAATATATTACCTTTGCATGACTCTTCAAGGGACTTTTTGTGTCATTCTTCGATCTGATAAATTTGGAAGAAACTTCTTCAAAAGCATTAGAAGCATTTAATTTTCTGTATCTTTCTCTTTCACCTTCTTTCCCTAAGTCTAACGGGGTTTCTAAGGATGAATCAATTAACATTATATGCACCTCATGTGATTTCTTCTATATTCATAAGAATGGGCTGGACTAACAAATGCTTCATGATCGATGCCTTGTGTTAGATTGATCTTTTGACAATAACTTCTCAACAATTTCATCAGTAATTGAGCCTTTAAGAAAATTCACCAAATCAAACAATCCATCTAACTTCGTATCGATATTGGCCATGCGACTAAATATACTATTCACCTTTTCTTCCAAACTAGTTAATTTTTTCTCCAATCTTCAGGCTCCATCTTCAACTATAACTCCAACCTACGCATAATATTTGATTATAAATAAATAAAAATGTTGCTTAATTGCCTACACAAGAATACTAGATGCATCATTGAAAGATAGAGAACTTAACATTGATTGTTTCGACTTTTTTTTAAATTAATACTTCTAAACCTTTTCGTTCCCATCTTTCAGTAAGCTACAAAACATTCAAACATAAATGAAATCGCACACGCATATATTCACGAAACAAAGATTTCTCAATGGTGAGGGTTGTTTTGATCGACCGTTTTCTTTTCTTGCAGGCTGTGTCTGATTCTGATGAAAAGGGCCCGAACCTAGTCTTGAATGACGCTACTTGACGGCTGACACTGGGGAATCATCATTGTAAAAAATTCTCTAACTTTTTCTTCTTTTGTTGGTACAAATACTTATAATGACTATGAAAATTCTATAACTTCTTTCTTCTGGTTGTAATACTAAGTGCTATAATTGTTGTTGATTCATCTCATGAATGTGTTATGTATTTGGTAGGATCCTTCTCCGCACTTCATGAATATATTGTTTTGGGTTGTTAGTCCATCTCTTTAAGTTGTTGCTATTTTGTGGAGCAATGAGTTATTCGCATGGGAGTTCGGCTTATGAGGATAAAGTTGTGCATGAGATGGATGTCACTTGTAATTGTGGTAGCAAAGTTTATTTGACAGCTTCTTGGACCGGAAGAAATCCAGGAAGGAGATATTGGGCATGCCCTAAATATGGGGTAATTCTCTATTGATACAAACTTGTATTTTTGTTATTTCATTCTTGGTTTACAGATTTACTTAGAAACTGTCTAATACCTCTAAAATATGTACAGAGTTCTGGCTATTGTGGTTTTTTATGTGGGTTGATCCTGAAATGTGTGAAAGAGCAAAATCAGTTATACCGAGTTTTATTGGATAAAATGTATAAGTACCGACGTGAAATTGAGCAATTCAACATTAGAGAAAGGGAAGGAGCGGTACACTTGGAGGTCGCGATGAGAAAGCTCAAAGATATGAAGAAGGAGCTCAGAGTTTCGAAGAAGTCTGCCAATACATTGTGGACAGTAGTTATTTGTGTTTCAACAATGCTGTTCACTTTAATTTTATGTTTCAAGTAGATTTATACCTCCATAAGATTTTTATTGTTTTTTAAAATTCATCGACTTGAAAGCCTCTCCTCTTGGTCACCAGAATCAGCTAAGACAGACATATGGAATGGAAAGATCGGATTCATAACATCATGTGGCTATTTCACTGCATTTTGTTGAGTTTTTTTCTTTTGAACTGTTCCGCTGTGAAGATGATTCGACTTTATTTTTTAACTAATGTTTTCTTATCTCACCACCGGCTCGTCTACTTGTTACCATTTCCTTTACTCGGCATTTTACTTTACCAAGCTTGGAGATTACTATAGAAAAAAAATCCAACTATGTATAACAATACTAATACTAATGTTGATATTAATAAATTTATCTCATTAATACAAATGTTAATACAAATTTTACACAATCACTAAATTAAAATTTCATTTATCTTCAAGAAATTATTTTTAAAAATTATTTAGAATGACTTAGAATTTTGAAATCATGTTCTAAAAATTAATATAACACTGTCTCATGTACATGCATTTAGTCTATCATTTCCAAAATTTTACATTCGCCATTCATATCTCCAATAACAATTTATTCACATGTACACAAATATTTCATCAATAAAATCAAATCTTCATTCAACAATTCGTTAACATATGCACAAATATTCCATCAATAAATAATATCAAACTGAAACTTATACAAGAATTACTCCACATTGTCAAGAAATTATTTAATATTTTCCCCCTTGTACGTTTTAGAATATAGACATTAGTTTTTTCAGTCTTATTCCCAAGTGGCCAATTCCTTGATTTGATGATTTGCTCGATGTACAACAACTTGCATATCAATGCGCTTTGGGAGATCAATCTGACAGTTAAGTATCTGAAAGCCAGATATGACGGTATGAAGAACTTTTTACTGGAGTTTGAGAGATACTAGGATAAGGATGGGGACTTTAACGACGAGTAAGTCGCCTTCGTGGGCAGCCACGTGTAGGGAAGTCTGTCGAGTTCATTATAGGCATCCTGAGATGGCAAATGGGGCCCGGTGTTCTGTGTCGATGAACATGTACAATGGCTGGAGAAACGTATGAAAAATAATAACTCTTTGGTTAGTATATACTGGTGCTTTGAACCGTGCATTGCTGATTTTAAGGATAATATAAGTTGTATATGTAAAAAAAGGTATTAGTGATTAGAGTATTGCAACCACTCCCATTCAGATTCGTAACCAAACATAGTAGATGATATGAACACTTTTTAATCAGCCATGATGGCTTTTCAAAATCTTAATAAGGATTGAGAAAGGTTGGTACCTTTTGATACACTATAAATACTGTTGAACTTGTCGAAAAATGATCTTTAATCTCGCTACTCTGTGTGTCTGCAAAGACGAAACAACTTGTTTTGGAGGATTTACAATGCTCTCAACTACTGATACACTGATGAGAAGCCTGTAGTAAAAAAGCGCCTTATTACGAACATCCTGCAGCAAACCGGAATTTTTTCGTGCATTACTAAACACTGAATATTTTAAGCATCATACTTAAGAAATTCCAAGAACGCATCACATGCTGCACATTCTAACAATTGCTTAAGTTGAATATAATTCAATGAAATTATTTAGATAGTGCACATTTTTGTCCTCACCTTGTATAATTGCCAAGAAAGAGCAACCTTTATGAGTATACAAGTTTATACAGTAGTATTAGAAAAATATAGGGCAGTTTATAGCAATTAATAAATGTTTGTCATTGACATGGGAGCAAATTAATAAATTGAAGAAGACTCCCTAGAACAAGAACCAAACTAGCAACTCATTTTTTTTTTCTTTTGATATATATTCTAAGACGCCAACAATAAGGAACAAATTAAATGATGCATCGCAAAGTTTCAAGAAAATAGTAAAAAGCTAAGAATAATGCACCTAGCAAGATACAACATTCGTACAACACAAAGATGTAGTCACAGATAAAACAATGACAACTATATAAGCAACACTCACATGAAAAGGCTAGAGAGCGATGAAGAATTTGGTTTATTGTCGGATCTGTGCGTACAAAGGTTCAAGCTGAAACCACGCCGCACAAAAATATGCCGAAAAAAAAGAAAGAAAAAACTACATCACACGAAAACAAATTCGTCACACAAAAACTTGTTACAAGTAGTGTTTGTTTACTCACAAATTGATAAAGCAAAGGGTTGTCAGTAACAATGAAAATCTTCTTCAAGTCTAGCAGTGCGGCCAAGTCGAATCCTTCAATTAGAGCTTCGAAATCCAAAAGCTCTGAATTCGCTTGCCCCTCTTTCCCCCCTGCCAAATTTGCTCACCCCAACACCACACGCAACTCCCTCGGTCAAACACTTTACATAAACCTAAAAACTCGAGCTTTTGATGGTGTTATTATATAGATATTATTATTACCTGACAAATGCGAGACCTCACAGTAGGGCCTGTTCACTTATCCCCAATTTTCCTCTACTCGGCCTCTGGAAGATTCCCCAACTCGAGTGCCAGGGCGGGGTCGTGGGCCTGACGGCGGAGATCGTCTGGGATGAGCTCCGCCACCGCAACCGCATCCGCTTTTGCCTCGTACAGGCAGTCTCGTACGGGCAGCGTATGCATCTTAACAGGGGTTTGCCGTGGGAAAGGTGCCGCCATCGAAGATGGAAGCGACGAGTGGGTGTTCATCGGGGATCTTAGAGGTGGGTTTGGTGTCGTCGTCCTCCATCCGTCGGTGATTTACACACATATTCGACAAAAAAAACAAACTAGTAGTACCTATGAAGAAAAAGCACACATTCTACAACATAATCCAAAGCGAACACCACAAATGCAATACAGTGGTAATATGTGAAATATAGTGACCAAGCAAGTTTTAAACACACCTCAATTTCCATAGAATGGTAATATATGAAATATAGTGACCAAGCAAGTTTGATAAAGACACCTCAACTTCTGAAGCTCTTCTGGTTTTAAGGTTCAAACAGTCATAAAGGGCACCCCATTTTCCCGAGTAAGAGTCGAGGGAACCAAGCCGGTAGTACTGCTGCATCTGGTGGACCGGGGCTGCCAAAAATCAAAACCCATTGACTTTTAATCACTAACCAACAGTATATGTTGGACAAAACCTAATATCAAATATGTGGTATGCGTGTTCACGAGTAAATCAAGTTATCTAAAACAAACCAAAATATTAAGAGTATGCCTACATTATGCCTACATAATGTATGCCACATTATGCTTATCATCATCAAATATCTATATTTAGAGTGAAATTCCCAAATGCCTCTTGCTAGTAACCTGTTTGTCAAGCATTGACCTAGCCAAGAAGGAACAAAAATGCATTTCCTCATACTAAGGAAATTAAAAAAAAAAAA